CGTGCTTCTGTTCTGCCTCTGCCAGCCCCACAGCCTCCCTGCTGCAGCAGAGCCCCTGCCCTCCTCCCTCCCATAACATCACCTTCTCACAGATTTTCTCTACAGATGGAGGATTTTCCCCCTTTTTCCTTCTTTTCTTCTTGGATCTGTTCACATCAGCCTCAGGCTGATCTCCTGAGTGAGCCATGGCCAGGCTGGCTGAGCAGCCACTGTACAATCCAGTAGGAAATTCTTGGAAGCATTTACTCAGCAGTAGCATTGGGGTTTGGAGTACAGCTGTGCAGTTGCTGCTGATGGCCAAGTGAGATGTGGGCTTGTCCTGTCCCTGTGGTGGCACAGAGGATCACCAGGGCCGGAGCTGCCATGAGGGAACATCGCCTGTTTACCAAGAACACCTCCCTGCTCTGACCAGGCAAGTCATAAAAAAGGAAGGAGTGATGGAGAAGATGGTTGGCAGGAAGTGGGGGCACAAGGGGCTTGACCCTCATCTGAGCCAAAAGGACTGGGCGGAGCAGAGGATCCTGAGCTGGAGAAGAAGCCTCTGAGATGCATGGAGGAGAGTCTCTGGGCTGTCTGTTCTATGGGATGGCTGCAGCTGCTCATGTCTCCACTCCCTGTTGCTAACAGCAAGGCTGTGACCACTGCAAGCCACCCCTGTCACTGCTGGGGTGCACGTCTTGCAGGTAACTGCAGAGGGGGGACAGCATTTTCCCCAGGGGCTTCCAGCACAAAGCCAGCAGGAAGAGCAGAGAAGAGCATCCAGACCCCAGTGCCTCTCCTGTAGCCAACGTGGTAAGGGGGACCCTGGGGTGCAGGTCATGCAGTGAGGGGGTGGTGGGTCTGGCCCAGCCACCAGGGGGACAGTAAACCTCAGCCCAGCACTTGCCCTCCCATGGCATAAGCCCAGGAGCTGATACGCTCTGCTCAGACACCAAACACAGCAATTAGAGCCCAGTGGCTGCACTGCCCGCTGCGTTCAGCTGCTCAAGAATGTCTTGCAGCGATCTGCTGTGCCCCAATGAGCCTCAGGGTCAGCACTCAAACCCTGTCCCATGGTGTCCCTCCTTGGCAGCCCTGTGTGAGCAGGAGGGGAGGCACAGGGCAGAGCTTGTGCCTGTTTTCTTTCTGCAGTGATGCCCCCCCCCCCCACCAGCACATCACCCCTGTCCTACTTTGCAACCCCACCAGTCCCAGAACCCCACAGGAGCTCGGTGCTGAGCTCAGTGCCTGCTCCCTGGCACAGTTCACTCAGACACCAGCACCAGAACACCCCCCTGGGAACGGGGCTTAGGTTACTGGGGCGATGTAGGGCACTGTCAGCATTTATTTGCTTTTAACCATTTACCTCTGCGGGGGCTCAGCACTGAGCTGCTGGCAGTCACTTGCTGAGCGTGTCCTCACGACAGCTTCATTAAGGGGTATAAATCCGAGGCGAGAGGCAGTGACGGCAGCACAGGCTGCCTATTGATGCCGCAGGAATTAAAACAAGAGCAGCTTGTCACATTACTGTGAAATATTGGAGTGTGATTGCCAGCCTGGTGCAGCCCTCTGCCAGGGTAAGGCTTCAGTGTCAGGGCTGCAGCGATGCGTCAGCTGGGCTCAGGGTGCTTAATATCTGGTGGGTGGGAGAAGAGTTATCTGTGTGGAAAGAGCCAGGGGCAGGAGAGGTGACAGGAAGGCAGGGGAGGAGGTAAGAGCCTGATGTTTGCAGCCCCCAGCAGTGCTGCAGTGCTGCCGGCAGAGCTCCGGTCCTGCCACCACCTCCCCTTATGCAGGGGCTGTTCCCATTCCTGGCCATAGGTAACCCTGTGTGCTGCTTCCAGGCTGCTCATCACTGCCTAATAAACAGCAGCGCTGTTGCTGCTGTCAGTAACAAAGTTTTCCTTCTCAGCCACTTGATTTTAGCTGGAACTTGACCTCATATCTGCTCCGAAAAGCCTCGCAGGGCTGCCAGCGGCATAATGAGACATCTCTCCCAGTTCATTTCAGAGCAAATAGGTTGATCTTGCAAGTGCCGGAGCAGCTCTGCTGCCACTTCACATGCAGACTATTCCCAGGCAAGTAAGATTAATTACAAGTCCCGCCTGCCCTGGCTGGAACAGATTTGTTCCAATTTGGAGGTGATGGAAAGCAGAGTGCCCCATGTCCTGTAGTATTATCCTGTGTGGTGACCCCACACCCATGAGAAACAAACTGTCCTCAATCCCATCACTCGATCCCACACACAGATGAGGAACATTGCACCCGGGACAGAGCCTGGCTCCTGGTGCTGTGGTGGCTGGTTCCACCCAGCCCTTGGCAGCCAAAGCCTGCTGGGCAGTGAGAGGCTGGGTTTGGCCCTGCAGCCTTCTTACTGTGTCTCTACAACTCCTGATATCAGCACCAAAGCTGCCTTGGACTTCTTTAAAATAACAATTTCCTAACAAACTGCACTGTCCTATCTCTGGAGGGCTTCCCCAAGTCTGTCCTTGTCCTCGATGGAGGATCCAAGACCTCCCAGGCTCTGAATCCACACTGCTGCTCAGAGCCAGGCTTGGTTCCCACGTCCCTCCCCTTCCCCTCAGCACCTTTGTTCCTGCTCAGCAGATAGAAGAGAAGGAGCCAGCATCAGACCATTGCCTACAGAGCCTTGCTTACACCCAGCTGGAGCAGTCCTAAGCAGCACATGGCCCCATGGTCACCAAGGGGCTAGCAGGGAGCACGCTGGGGACACTAACAGCATTAGCTCCCCAAAACAGCTCCAGAAAGATGCAAGAGCTGAGCCCCTGGGACCTCAAGATAAGGGCACTGGGGCTCTGCAGTACCAATGGTGTTTGTGCTGGGAGTACTGGGGTGCATAGCCTGAAAGCTGCAGCTTGTGTTGTGCTCCTGGGGTTGTTTCAGCCCTGGCTATGAACAAGCTGATTTCCAACCTCTCAGGGAGAGCCTGCGTCCCCCTGGTCCCAACCCTGCCAGGGCTGTGCAGAGGGGAGATCATCACCAAGGCACAGGCAAAGAGCGCAGCAGACCTCAAAGTCAACCTTGCCATGACTACATCTGAAAAAGCAAACTGCTGCTTTCTGACCTGAGGACACATCTACCCTTCCCTGTCAGCCTGCAACCCCAGCTGCACACTGCTCGTGTCAGATTTCATCCTGCTGTTTGCTCCAGGACCAGGACAGCAAAACCCAGGAGCACCAAGGACGTGGCTCCAGCTGGGACCAGGGGGGCCTGACTGGATCTGTGCCCTGACCAGAAGGACACAAGGGATGCCAAGTCCAAGTACCCCACACTGTACTGCATGGTCAGGAGGGAAGGGGTGGGTAGTTGTACATATGTGTATATAGCAGACATGCCAGCAGAAGGTTTTATTATCCCTGATGCTGTAGAGACACTCTGCACTCCTCTGTTTTGCTGTGCACCCCACAAGCAGCGTGCAGGAGCAGTCAGACCCAGCTCTTTGGGTGCCCTTCACTATCCATGTGGGGCTGGCTGTGGCATGCATGAGCCTGGAAGCAACTGCTGTGCTAACAGGCAACTAAAGCACTTGAGCAGGGCAAGGGGAGAAGAGCTTAGGCTGCTGCTAAGTGCTGAGTCCTTCCTAGCCAAGCTGGGGTTCCTCAAGCAGCACTGTGCCACATTGCCATGTTCTGTACATACACCCCTCTGTATCTGTATCTGTGCTCTGTATAGTGTGTGTGGGTCTGGTGTAAGACATTGTGACTGGAACATGATGGAGAGCATTTCTGCCTGAAGCCTTTCTCTCTGTAGCAATATGATGTTTCTTGGTGTCAGTGTGGAACTGAGCCTTCTTACAGCAAAGGCTCCCGGCTGTCTGTGTCACAGGGATGGAAATGTGGATGGGGGTGGGAGGAAAGTAAACAAATTTTCCTACCATTTCTGACTTTCTGTGCATGTGCCTGAGCTGGGCAAGAGCAGCGTAAGTATAGAAGAGGCTTGGACTCCTCCCAGGAGGAGAAAAGGCACCAAACCCAGAGTGTCACCGTGGGCAGTGCACACTTTGTGTCCTCCACAGTCCCACTGTTCCTCTTCCCATCTCAGCTCAGCGGGTCCCCAGCGGGTTGGTCTCAGCTCAGAGGGTCCCCATGGGAGAGCTGGCTGCCCCAAAAGCACAACATTGCTCCAAACTCAGGGCACCGGCCACAAAACAAGATGGGTCACAGATGAAGCGTGACCACAAACAGCAACAGGCACGAGGGCTGCAGAAACTCAGCATGAACAACTCCAAGGCAGGAGGTTGTCTTTTCCAGCTGGCAACACATCTGTGCTGCTTCTGAAGGGACCAGAGCCTGTTAATTGCCACTGCTGGAGATCTGATCGACTGCAGACAGCGACACTGGGTAGGTTGTGTGTGCTTGGAGGGAAACCACGAGGTCTGTGCTGCAGATGTTCGGACACGGGCTCTGCTACGAACTGTGAATGCTGAGCCCTGCAGCCAGCAGTGCCCACCGCTGCACGGGGCAGCTTTGCTCTCTGTGGTTTCCATGCAAATAAATCCCTTCAGAACACGAAGAACAGCCCTATTTGTGTGCCTGTCAGGTCTGACTAGAACTGCGTGCACACACGTGCGGGGATGGGCGGCTCGGCGCTGCGATCAGAAACACGCAGCCCAGGCAGGAGCACAGGCAGAAGCAAGCCAATAAGCGCCTTGGGAAGGATCTGCACGCTCAGAGCTTTCCCGCTACCTCCGGGGACTGGAAACAGAAGATAACGTGTGCGCTACCAGAGGGGATTTTCTGTTTCCCATGCACGGCAGCCGCGCCCCCAAGCAGCCCACGAGCAGCAGGCGCGGAGCGCTCGGCCGAACCAATGGCGCCCCCTAGCGACGCCCGCAGGACCTCGGGGCTGGGTTGGGGCCCGGCTCCGCGGCCTGGCGCTGCGGACAGGACTGGGCCTGCCCCGGGAGCCAGGCGGGAAGGTAGACCCGGTAGCCAGCACCCAAGAGGGTCCCGGGCCCGGCGCTGAGACCGAAGCGGGCCCGCAGGTAGAGAGTGTTTCCCCGCATCTCTATTGCCATGGCAACCGGGCGGCACTCTGCCCGGCACAAAGATAGCGGCCTGCCGCCGGAAGTAGCACTGCCCGATTCCAAGATGGCGGCACGCCGCCGGAAGTCGCCCGGCCCGTCTCCAAGATGGCGGTCGCCACGTCACTACCGCCCCGCAGCGATGGCGGCCACGGCGGCGCGGGGCGCGGAGGCCGAGGCTCTGTTCGAGGCTCACACAGCGGCGGAGCTGCGCGAGGCAGAGCGGCGGTTGCGGGCCGGCATCGAACAGAAGCGGGAGGAGCTGCGGCAGATGGTGGGCGAGCGTTACCGTGACCTGATCGAGGCGGCCGACACCATCGCCGAGATGCGGCTGAGTGCCGAGCGGCTGCTGGACTCCGTGCGGGGCCTGCAGCGCGGCGGGGCGACGCGGCCCGGCCCCGCTCCCCCGGTGAGCAACGAGCTGGCTGGGGGGATGATGCCTTCCGAGCCCTGCCTTAACGCCGTTTTCTCAACCGCAGGCCCCGCCGCAGGTGCAGGACAAGCTGTACCGGGCGGCCGCGCAACTGAAGCTGCTGCTGGACATCCCCGAGCGGGCGTGGAGCGCCATGGAGGCCGGGCGTTACCTGCACGCCGCCCGCCTCTACCTGCTGTGCCGCCACCTGCACGGCCTGCTGCAGCTCGACGCGCCCCGCGCCCGCTACAGCCCTGTCCTTGCCCGCTTCCCCATCCTGCTGCGCCAGGTGGCCGCCGCCAGCCACTTCAGGTGGGAGAAGGACGCGTGGTGAACGGCAGCGGGTGCTTGGGGCCCAAGGGCCAACAGCGTCCTGAGCTGGGTTAACAGCAGGGATTGTCCTCCTCTGCTCTGCTTTGTGAGGTCCCACCCTCAGGACTGCGTCTATGTCATTGCTGTGAGGAAAGGCTGAGAGTATTCAGACTGGAGAATGCTCTAGAGAAACCTCAGTTCAGCATCCCAGTGGTTGAGGGGGGCTTATACACAAAAGGGAGAGCAACGTTTTAGGTGGGCAGTTAATGATTGGACAAAGGAGAATGGCTTTAAACTAAATAAAAGAAGATCTAGATGTCTAGGTTAGATGCTAGGAAGAAATTCTTTACCCACAGAGTGGCAAGGCCCTGGCACAGAGCTGTGGGTATCCCATCCCTGCAGGTGCCCAAGGCCAGGCTTGGGGTGGGACCCTGGATCACCTGATCTGGTGGATGGCAGCCAGCCCACAGCAGGGATTGGAACTAGATGATCTTTAAGGTCAACTGAAGCCATTATAAATAACAGCAGGCTTCTGCTGTGAGGAATGCAGTACTGAGTAGAGTTTCTGCTCAGAGTCTCCTAACCCAATCTACAGTTCTGTCAAACAGCAGACCTTCTCCCTCTAGCACTTGGTTACTGTCTGGTTCCTTTCCTTGCCAGATCCACCATCTTGCAGGAGAGCAAGTCTCTGCTGAAGTGCCAGACCGTGTCAGACCAGGCAGTGGCAGAAGCCTTGTGTGCCATCATGCTTCTGGAGGATAGCTCCCCACGCCAGGCCCTTGCAGACTTCCTTCTGGCCAGGAAACTGGCAATCCAACAGCTTCTCAACCAGCCACACCACGGTCAGTACAACAGGGCTGCCTCCTTTTTAAAGTTAGGGTAACCAGCTCTGTTTCTTCTCCATTTTGCCTTGCAGTACCCAAGCAGAAAAGTGGGCGGCTTAATCCTGCAAAGCTCAGAGTGGTGGGGTTTCAGCCATGTTGCACAACTGCAGTGGCACTGTGGGTGTCCTGGCAGCTTTTTGCCACAGTGCTGAATTAACAGAGCTCAGGAACTAAAGCCAAACTTATCTTCAGCCAGGAAGTAGGTGACGTACATGGCTGAGGCACATGCTGTCCAGCCCATTCCTGGAAGGTTTCACTGGACCCACAGAGCATTGTCATACTTCTGCTAGAGGGGCTGCCTTCACTGAAAGGCTTTTTCTTTTTTTTGCAGGTGCAGGTATAAAAGCTCAGGTGTGTTCACTGATGGAGCTGCTAACCACTACCCTGTACCAAGCTCATGCTCTCTTCTATGTGATGCCTGAAGGGGTGACACCAGACCCAGCCCTACCCTGTGGCTTACTCTTCTCCACCCTGGAGAGCACTACAGGCCAGCAGCCAGCAGGTGAGCACCCAGGCAGCAGCAGCTCTGTTTACAGGCAGGAGGCTGCCCTGTGCTGAGCTGATTTCCCCATCCCATGTGCTTCTAGGAAAAGGTGGGGTTCTGGAGGACGAGGTGAAGCTGAGCAGCTGGTTCAGGTACCTCCCAGAGTCTGTAGTGGAGTTCCAGCCAACCCTGCGGACCCTGGCGCACCCCATCAGCCAGGACTATCTCAGAGACACTCTGCAGAAGTGGATCACCATGTGAGTGTGACGCTCTCCTCCTTCACAGAAGGCCCCTACAATGTCTCCTTGCTAAGGACAAAACAAAGTCACACACCCCTACAAAGCAAAGCTCTGCTGACTCCCTGCTCAGTATTCCTTCACCCCTGCAGTTAAGCAGCCAAAACAGCAGGGCACAGTCTTATCAGGCTGTAGCACTCTGTTACAGCAGACCACACTGGTTAGCCCAGGGCTTCATAATATTTATCTAGAGCTGCTTTATACTGCCAAAAATCACAAGCAAACAAACAAAGAAAAGGAAAGCAAAGCAAAATCCCTTACCTTTCTCTTTTGGCTCTTGGTCCAGCACCTCCTTCCTCTTCACTGCCCTTCTCTGGACTGTGAGTGCAGACAGAGCCCCTTTATAGAGCATTCAGCTCCCTCCCCAGTTCCCACCACGTGGATGGGAACAGCTCTTCCAGCCCCTTAGCAGCCCGGTTACTCATATATGGGTGTCAGTCTTGTGTCATTAACCCATAGAGGAGCTGCTGCTGGGCTGGCCAGCTGGTCCCTGGCATCAGCTGTAGCCCCCTGTGGTGAGTTTATTGGCCACGAGAAGTTTCCCCCTGCTTGCCAGGCTCATAATGAGGGCAATTAGCATAGTGGGGGTGTTCCTAGGGTGCACCTGGCTTCGATGCCCACAGTAGCCCTGAGTTTCCAATGCAGGGCTTCCTTGCTGGGATTTAGGGTGCAGCTGTCTCACTGAGAGCCAGAGGTACCCTGAGCCCTGCAGGTGCCATTGCAGGTAGAGTTTCTTACTGACAGATAAAGAACCCCCCCACACACCTTGATGTAGCATGTGTTTTCTCCTGGGTTCTCTGGTGTTGTTTCTGAGCCAGTCTGAAGTAAAACTCCACCTTCAGGTGCAGTGAGGATATCAGGGCTGGGGTCAGCAACCTGCTGGTCTACGTGAAGAGCCTGAAAGGCCTCGCGGGGATCCGTGATGCAGTGTGGGAGCTGCTCACAAGTGAGTCCATAAGCCAGAACTGGGATGTGTTGTGCCGTCGCCTTTTGGACAAGCCTGCTTCCTTTTGGGAGGACCTGCTGCGGCAGCTCTTCCTGGACAGGCTGGAGGTGAGCACCCTGCTGCAGCTTTGCTCTGTTCCCCATCTTGTCTCCAGCATGCCACTGGTGCCAGTTAGAAGCATTAAGTGCATATCTTAAGTGCTGTGTTACAGGAAGCACCTGTAAAAGCTTGTTTTTTTCCTCACTTTCTAGATACTGACTAAAGAAGGGTTTGAATCCATCTCAAGCAGCTCCAAACAGCTTCTCATCTTAGCTCTGCAGGAACTCGAGGCCAAATCCAACACCTCTGCCTTGAGCAAGCACGTCCAATTTGAACACAATGTGGCCCAGTTCCTGTGGTCAGAGAGCTCCAGCGATCTGCCTTCAGATGCTGCTTGGGTCAACGTGGCAAACCGCAGCCAGTTTACCAAGAGCGGCCTGTCCATGAAGGCCCAGGCGCTCACGCCATGCGTGCAGAGCTTCTGCTCAGCTCTGGACTCGAAGCTGAAAGCCAGGTTGGATGACCTCCTGTCTTACCTTCCTGCTGAGTCTTCAGCCACCAAGGAGCTCGCTCCCACCTTGCAGCCTCTCTCAGCCTTCGACCGCTACGCCGACACCAGCAGGGTGGAAGGGCTGCTCCGCGAGCACTGCATTGCCTGCATCCACCATGTGCTGAGCTGTGTGCGTGAAGAGCTCCAGGCTGCACGGGCAGATGCTCGCAGTGATAGCAGGCTCCACGCTGTCCTCTTCATGGCCAGGCTCTGCCAGTCCCTGAGTGAGCTTTGTCCTCACCTCAAGCAGTGTATCCTGGGCCGGTCAGGCAGCGCGGAGACGACACTGAAGGAAACCCGCTCCACCAAGAAGCTGGGGAAGGGGAAAGTCCAAGAAGTGAATCCTGTGCAAGCCAAGTGGCAGGAGGTGAAGGCAGAACTCCTGCAGCAAAGCCTGGCTGCTTACCAGATCTGGAGCTCTGCTGTTACTAAAGTAAGGACCTGCTTCTCTCATCACAGCTGCTTTCAGTGGGGTTTTAGGAGGAAGTTTTTCACCCAGAAGGGTGGTGACACATTGGACCAGGTTGCCCAAGGAGGTTGTGGATGCCTCATCGCTGGAGGCATTCAAGGCCAGGCTGGATGTGGCTCTGGGCAGCCTGGTCTGGTGGCTGGTGACCCTGCACACAGCAGGGGGGTTGAAACTCAATGATCACTGTGGTCCTTTGCAACCCAGACCGTTCTATGATTCTGTGATTCAGTGGCTCAGCTCCCTGTGATTGGTGCTGCTGCTGCTCCGTAGCTGACAGAGGTGGAACCTGGTGGGATGCAGCCTGGGGGGTGAGGGAGGATAGCCTGTCTGTAGGAGAAGGCTGCCTGTCCGTGTTTGCTCTCACCACAGTCTTGTGACTCAATGCTTTTGTGTTTTGCACTCTAGGCTCTAGTTCAGTGCTTTACTCAAACGTTGCTGCTAGACACAGCTGGTTCTGTCTTGGCCACAGCCACCAACTGGGATGAGATTGAAATTCAGGAGGAGGCTGAGTCTGGAAACAGCGTAACATCAAAGATCCGTCTGCCTATGCAGGTATGAGAAAGATTCTCTTGATAAATGCAGAGAAATGATCTGATGGGAGGAGAAAATGTTTGATGTTTTCCGAAACCACTGCTTTGTCGAAGGTTGCTGACCTACCACGCAGTTTGCCCGGCACTATGAGCACAGGGCAGACACTCTGTGGTGCTGTTATTTGCTCTTTGAGACACTCACCTCTTAAGGAGACAGAGGTGAGTGGAAAGGGAGACAGAGGTGAGTTTAAGAGGAAGGAAAATAGGTAGTTGCTGTTATGTATTCAAATGAATAAGATCAGCCCCCGTCCTTTAAAGTTGAGCCAAATTAGGATGCATGCCTGGTTTATACATAGAAGCCCACTAGAGAGACTTCACAGAAACTGATTGCTCTGAAGTACAGGACTGCACCCGTTGTGCTTTCAGGACTGCTGTAACCAAAAGCAGATTAAAAACCTGTGAAATTCAGATTCGAGCCCTTCTATGGGGGAAGGTAGATCTTTGTCACAGCAAATTTGTTGCCTAGGGTGCAGGGAGCTCAGAAGAACGATGTTCTGCTGCTGACAAAGCTAACATAGCTTACAGACCACATGAAAATAACAGTGTTTTGTTGAACAGCCATCCTGGTACGTCCAGTGCCTCCTCTTCAGCCTGTGCCAAGAGCTGAACCGGGTCGGCGGTCACACTTTGCCAAAGGTCACCTTGCAGGAGCTGCTGAAGGCCTGCATGGCAGAAGTCCTTGCTGCCTATGAAAAGCTCATGGAGGAGAAGCAGGACAAGGTACACGAGTAGGATCAGGCCTGGTTCCGGCCTGCATGGGATGTGGGGATCGCTGGGCAGTATCTGTGCTCCGGTCCCCTGGAGAAGGAAATATCCACCTGGGAGGGCTGAAGGGGTGAGGGCACTCTGCCTCCCCCAGAATGAGGCAGAAAGGGATCTGACAGCAGCCTGTGTGCTCAGAGGGGTTTGGTTGTGCCGGTTGTTTTTTGGGGGGCTGACATTTTCAGTGTCAGTGAAAAGCCCTTTTCTTATTTGCAGAAAGCAGGCAGCTTCCCCATGACGCAGAACAGAGCTCTGCAGCTACTCTACGACCTGCGGTACCTGAATGTCATCTTGACAGCGAAAAGTGAGGAGGCAAAAACCAGCAGGATCAAGCATGACTCCAGGTGCAGCGTAATTCTGAGTGCTGGAGACTTACAACATGTTGTGGAGCCCCACAGCTGTTTAAACTTGCAGCCTTGCTGTCTGCCAGAACACCCACAGGAGTGGTGCCTGGGCCGTGCAGGGCAGTACAACCTCTGTGCACAGTCACAGGAACTGGCTTCTTCCAGTGAGTCACAGCTTATCCTCTACGTGTAGGAGTGGGATTCTGCAACTGACAGTTCAGACAGCAGGCTGGTGCCCTCTGCTTTGTATGCACAGTGCATCCATGTGGTGGCAGGCACACCTTGGGAGGATGCTCCTAAAGAGAACAGTTATCAGCTCCCACCTGGGTTCAAACCTTCAGCTACCCTGGGGAGAAACAACAGCAGGTATTACAGCAGTACCAGGAAGAGCTGAAATCATTCAGCTGATTTTATTCTTTTTCTTAGCAGTTCACATTTCGTTCAGTCACTTCTGCAGGTCGAGGCCCTGGCAGTTCCAGAGCACCCAGTGAAAGCATCCCACGGATGTGAGCAGCCATCTTTGCTCACTAGGATGTAAATACTGACAGGCTTTCCTCTGCTCTGCTTGTAGGATTGAGAAGGTGACTGACTTCCTGGAGGGACACATCGATCCATTTGACTTGGATGTTTTTACACCACACCTAAACAGCAACCTTAATCGCCTGGTTCAGCGAACCTCTGTAAGTGCATGAAAAGGAATGCATCCATCAGGAAGCAGTGCTAAAAAACATGATTTGAAGGGTAGTTTGATAAACTGCTTCATGTCCATAGAGAGCTGCTGGCACTTAGTCAGGAATGGGAAGGGTATTTAATACCAGGTGACAAGAAGAGGAGCTTGCTGAGCTGGCTGTATGGCACATAATCACGCATGGAGTTGGCAGAACTTTATCTAACAGGATTTGCTGAAGCCTGTGCAATGTTAATTGGGTTAAGTAGTGCTGAAACAGCCCCAGAACTCAACTATAGTAACAGCAAGCAGCACCAATTAAGAGTTAGAGGGAGAGAAGGGAGACAATTTATAGTCAGACTTTAAACCAACCACAAGTACTGTGCAAAGCCATGCTAGTAGGCTCAGCAGCAGCATGTTGGCTGGTCAACTCTGCAGATGCCCTCCTTGCAAACAGCTTTCATACCTTGTAGGTTCTCTTTGGCTTGCTGACTGGGACAGAGAACCAGTACACAAGTAGGAGCGGGGCTCTGGGCTCCCAGGAGCTCCATAATATCTTGCCCTTAGCATCCAGCCAGATCAGGTAAGTTACCCAGCTCTTCTGTTCATTCCTACATCTCGTCAGGAAACAGGTCTAGCACTGCTGTTTCCTATGACCAAGTGCATTTCTTTCTTCCATCTCTTAAGGTTTGGACTTCTGCCACTCAGTATGTCGAGTTCACGAAAGGCGAAGTCTGCGACCAGGAACACAGAAAGAGCTCAGGTTGGTGAAACAGAGCCACGTGAACTCCTGTGCTCATTGTCCCACCAACAGTAGAGCTTGCAGGGAAAGAAGAAAGCAGCCAGGCAGTTAATATTTAACCTGATTTTTTATTTTCTGTAAAATGAGAGAACCATTACGGCAACACAGCATGAGATGGGTTGGATTTCCCCTCGGCCCTCCAAAGAAACCCGATGGCCCCTGGATATTTTTGGGGCCAGCTTTCTGTGTGGTAAAAAATCAGCAACATCCGTCATGAAAATGCAGTGAAGATCTGCACAGATGAGGCGTTTTGAGATCAATGCATAAAAGGGTTTCATTTAAGTATGGCTGCAGGAAATGTTAAAGGATATTATCTAATTATTTCAACTCCCTTCCAGTGCGATGCTGACCTTTAACTCCTGATGAAGCTGGCCTGGGTATTTCAGCCTGTGTGAACCGAGTGGCTTGCTTCTCTTGCAAAGGCTCTGCCTCGTCTTGTTGCTGTTTTACTGGCAGACAAACGTTATGCTGCCACGTTTCCTCCAGTTCAAAGCATTTGCTTAGGTGGAGCTCCCTGTGCTGAGGATGGAAAGAGCCAAGGGGTACCTTACTGCTACAGGAAGCAGTGATCCATTTTCTTTAGCCATTGATAATCTAAGAATCAAACTGATGTTTCTGCAGCCAGGATGGAGGAATAAAGACCTGGCTTTATCAAAGCAGAGTGGTACTCGAGCTGCTGGCACTTACTCTGCAGTCCTTGTTCTCTTATGTTTTAGAAGTACTAAAAAACAGATACAGTATCAGGGTTATTTAAAAAGCCCAAAGCTTAACAGTAAGTGTATTCTTTACCTCTTCCTCCTCAGCTGTAGTAGCCTGTAGAAGTGTGCAGTGATGTTTGTCTTGCTTCCACCACTCCCAGCCATGGCTATGGAGTACATGGACATTCTGCATTCACTCCACCCTGCAGAATCACTTGTTCCTTTTATCAGAACAGTTCTAGGGAGGTTAAAGTTGGCAATTACTCAAGAGCAGCTCTCTACAAAAAGCCACAGCTGTGCTTCTACTGTTGTTGCACCACTGTTCTGAGCAACAGTCTTTTCCTTACTGCAGATTACTGTGTTTGAGCACTGAATGACTCCTGTGTAGTTGCTAACACGAAGAAGCTGTGCATCCACCTCTCAGAACAACCTTTCACTGCTTGTCATTGCAAAGCCAGTTGGGTTGTCTGCAAACAGCTCTTCTGCTGTAGTCTGTACCCCCTTGCAGCTCCTGTAGATGAGGGTTTGGTCAAAGGTGTGCCGTCATCATTCCTGACTCTCTTGTACTTAAAAACAGGTTCCACCTCCTGCATTCACAAGAGCAGAAGACGAGGCCTTGCGCCCTGGCTCCTTGTTCAGGCAACTTGTAACTGAGGAGGAAGACACAGCTGCATCTTCTCTCTTCAAGCTGGGATGGCTTTCTGGCATGACCAAGTGATTCAATAAAAGAGTTTCTCTCTGCATTTGTCTTCACTGCAAAACTCTCCCTGCAGCAGGGGCTGGGGACACCTGCACAGGTGTTGTCAGAAGAGCAGCACTTTCCCTCCTCAGCCAGGTGGTAGCATGCCACTTAAACCAGGAACAGGTCAGGACAGTCCTTGCACTCTGGCTGCTGAACCAGAGCTCTACCTACTCTTTTACTTCCTATTCCTTCAGAGTTGTTAACTTTAAAAGTCAAGTTAAAGAACTCAAACTACACGATGTAACAGAAGACAAAACATTTCACAGCTAGAAATTGGAATTAGAGCAATGTAAGACTCCTCTTTCCTTCAAAAGCTCCTCCCCAGGCTACTCTATGCTTTCGTCAGCAGATACCGTGTGTCTGCTCACTAAATGAAACCAGCAGGCATCTGGTACTTTGGCTACAGCTGCCTAAGCTTTCCTGGTTCTAGTTTCACAATTTATTTTCAATACTGCAACAGTAAAGATAAAGCAGACAGGGCTCATCACACCCCAAACCTGGTGGAGAGCTTACAGCTACAGCAGTCCTACAGCACTCCTGTGACAGCATTTACTGTCTTCTTACCTCTAAATGCTCAAAAAATTATTTTCCCAAATACATTTTTTACTGGTTTATTGAAATAAAAAAAAAAAAGACTTATAAAACTGAAGATGAACGCTGGAAAGAATTTTACACAGAGCAACAAATCGCTAACAGATTAGGCAGTCAACTGGAATTGGACGTTATGCAATCCTATATCACAGATGTGGATTCCTCAGTCTCCTTTTGACACGTACTTTAAAACCACCCCAAAAAGAATCCTATAAAAATTGCTTCAAAGCCCCTTTTGCATTGCAATAGTGCAGCAGACCACAAGTAAACAATTTCCTGTTAACCTGTTATTTCATTTCAAATATAGACTGAAAAGGCAACAGGCGTTTTGTGCAATTTCATTTTAACAAACTAAGTTGAAATATCCAATCTACACAGTGCTGTCCCTTCACAGAAGGCAAGGAACTGCTGGTTCATCATGTAGGAGGGCGTCCGCGGCTCTGTAAGCTGTGGAAGTGGGCCTCCTTCAGGATCTGGTTGATGTGGAAGTAAGGACCTTGACTTAGTGCAGACTGCTCATGGAAGGGCTGAGAGGAGACAGGGCTGGATCCCGGCACCGCGGGGTTCAGGCTGGGTTCTGGGCCGCTCGCTCTGTCAGGGCTGTTGATGCTACTGCTGCTGCAGCTGCTGCTGCTGCTGCCGCTATCGCTGCTGGAGGACTGAGACAAAGAGAACGTTAGCAGCACAACGACACCTTTTCCTCTCCTGTCCGCAACGAAACGCCTCAGTTAAGCAAGCAGTCTTGACAGCAAGTCCCTCCCTTCCAGATTTTTAGGCTCGCATTCAGCCCGATGGACGAAAGAAATCGACCGAGTGCTTTCTTGGCATTCATAGCTGCAGTTATTGCCGACACATGAAAAGCATCGCAGAGCTGAAGGGATGAGCAAGCTTTCACCCAGAGTTTCACTGACCTCCAGTTCAAACCTCGTGCTTTAAGCCCATCAGCTCTGTCCCCGTGACCCACATTTTAGCACTAGTGAAGTTTGCTGAATTCATCCGAGAACTGGAAAATAAAGAACGTCCCTGCACAGCCGCACGCGTCAGTAAAGGCAGGCAGGGCCTGGGGAAAAAAGCTGCACCAGCCTCACGTGAATCACTTCTGGTTCAGCAGACATTTTAGGTAAGCACCATGCAAAGCATTTTGCTAGAAGTCAGGTGTTTTTTATTCTAAAATGTGATCTGAAGCATCCAAAGCAACAGACTGTTAAAGTGAGGCGATGCCCAGGGTAGGTCTCTGACACCTCAACATGCATACAGCTCTTCTCCCAGCGCAGCACTGGGACTGCAGTGATAGCTGTCAGTTCTCCATGCCAATTTACTTGACACAGCAGTGAAAGAATGACAGCCATCTAGTATCTCCACACACAGAGGAGAGAGAGAACTTAAGCTTGAGCTCACATGGAGGACAAGGTTCAGCATTTGGGATGAACACACTCCATGGTAATAACTAATTAGCCATCACTGTCAGCGTTTCAAAGACTTAAAACTGTTTGGTTTGTACCATTTTAGGGGCTGCTAATGAAGGGCCTCCATTAGCTACAGCTGAAATACTTGAAAGCCAGGCTGGATGTGGCTCTGGGCAGCCTGGTCTGGTGGCTGGCGACCCTGCACACAGCAGAGGGTTGAAACGAGATGATCACTGTGGCCCTTTTTCAACTCAGGCCATTCTATGCTATGCTGTTCAGGACAACACTGCAAAGATTCAGGTGCTTAAGAATCAGCAGGTGACATTACTTTGCCATCCTGCAAGAAGGAAATTCAAACAAGCAGCCACTGCAAATGACAGCAGCTAAAAAAAACCATTTTGGTAAGCGTCAAGTTGAAACCACAGAAGTCAGAGCTTGGCAGGAGCAGCAGAGGAAAACAAATTTAAGGAAATCAACTGCAATTTAACAGTTGGCACCACATCCAGAAAGTCTCACTTAAGGGTATATCTAAGAACAGTGCAAACTGCATCTGTGAGAGGCTTGGGAAGGCACAAATTGGGGGTGGCTCACGATGCCAGCTGGAAGCCCCACGGCACCGATTCCACGAGCGATCGTCACGATTCAACCATGTAAGTTTCCTTGTTTTGCTAAGCACTAAAAAACGCTTCTGTGCTTCAGTTCTGTTAGAGGACATCAAGCAAGACAATGGTAGTGAGGCTGCACCCGTGCTGGTGTGTTAGGTTCAGCTAGCAAGGAGAAAACAACAACAGAAATACATGAAGTCATTCTTAAGGAAGCAGCAGATGCGACTCCATGAGCAACCAGTCCTCTTTCTACTGCTACTGACACTCGAGAGGGGGAGAACACCAGAAGGACAGAGAGGAGCAGCAAAATGGCACCTGCTGGGCCACCTCATTTTGCACAGAAGCACAAATACTGAAACGCAGTGCTGTTACGCCCAACGAGTCACAGCAGCCTTGGAGAGAAACCCACCGCACAGGACACTTTGTTTCCTTTTAGTCTGTGTTCCTTACTGTTTTTCGTTACAGCCACCTTCTGAAAATCAAGGCAAAAGTCAAAATGAGAACCCAGCATCGCTTACTGCCCGAGTTTTGTATCTCAGCAGAACAAAAACATTTTAGAGCTGTTAGCAACGATCATTTTTACGCATTCCTGATTTTCTTTTTGAAGCACAGACTGTGTCCTGGGACGTGCTTCCTACACCTAAGGCTGTTGGCAGCTCTGGTTTGTCAGACTCTTTATTTCCATTTCTCTAATGCAAAAATTCACTAGCACGAAGCCCCTTTATAGCCCAAATCATGTCATGGACCTACCATTTCCCCAGGCTGTGGTGCACATTCTGTTACGCATTTGGACTACAATTAGACAAAAAAAGAATCCTTAAAGTCATCATGGCAGCAATGACAGGCATCTACACAATGAAACAAAGGTTTAAGCAAAAGGGCAGAAGAAAGCCCTGTGAGAGTTCATGAGCATCTGAAGCATCAAAAGGGCTCCTCCCTCATCAGCCCCCCGTAGCATAACACAAGTTTCACCTGGACATTTGCTTGGAAACTATTTACCTGCATCCATCTGCTGATCTGTGATGCTGTGTCTCAACCACTAAGAGCAAAAACTCGAGAGCAGTATGATCTAAGCTGAATTTAACAAAGAATTAATCTGGTTTCCATTAAAATTTAGACCAGCCCTTCCTCAGCATGGTAGTAGAGTGGCATAGAAGTTTTTCTGTAGCATTGCAGCTATTTGAGAGAAGCAACTGCTGCCTTGTGTCAGCAAACTCCAACAGCAATATCTGAGGAATCCCATCATCAGTCAGGCTAACAGAAAGGAATCCTAAGAAACTGGGTTCAGGAAGGAAAAGAGTTGCTGGAACACTGCAGGCTCCCTTCCTTCCAAGGGGAAAAAAAACCAAAAACACAGAGCAAAGGGCTTCTTTCCCCAGTGATTCCCAGGCTGCAGAAGACAGTGCTGCATTCCCTCGATTCCTCACATAACAGCTCCTCAGCAGATCCACTGCAGCTCTGCCTAACCTGCCATACAGGCTAGTCGAAACAGCAGAGCCTTGCTGAAGTAATCAGCAGGTATCTGTGCAGACAAGAAAGCTAACCTGCTGGTGAACAGAGAAGATAGAGGACAGGATGAACAGGAAACAAAGCGCAGTGGCAAATGCTCTGCTTTGCTAACATCCAGTGCTTATGGACTGAACTGCAAAGCAGTTTCCCACAGTTGTCACCTGGGAGAGCAGGAGTGGTTTGTTCTGAGAGCAGAAGGAGCTGCACAGCATCACAGCAATTCGCCAAGAGGCAGCGCTGCTGGCTGCTGAAGAACAGCTCTGCTTCCCAGCTGTGTTAAGTCAAGCTCAAGCCCCAGATGAAAACAGCAACCCCCCCCTTCCCATTACACACAGCTCACAGGAGGGCTGTGACTCCAAGCAAGGACTGAGCGATGCCATCAAATTCCCCACATGAACAGCCACCATCTAACACCTGGCTATCAGCTATAGAGAACAAGACAAAATACAGAAAGGGCTGCCGTGAGCCAGGTTCTGTTTGAGGACTACGGCCAGCTGGTTTTTGCACCAAGGTGATGCAGGTCAACCACCCTGCAAGAAGGAAAGCCAACTTTCAAATGAAGGGAGGCAAAAGGAATCAGAGCTCTAGCCAGCGTGAGACAAAAAGCAGGAGTGGGTGCCCTCAGATGGAAACACACCATCTTTCCTATTCCTCTCCTACAGCTGCTGGGGGCTTTGAATCAGCCAGAGCTCCTCTTGCAAACCACATATCAGAAAACTAAGTGCAAGCATTACAAAGTGGCAACAGTTTCAAAGTGACACCAATCGGAAGCACTTGCAAACTGCAAGCACCAAAATGTCTCCACTTAGTACAGGAAGTCCTCAAAGAAACATTGAATACTGATTTAATCTCACGGCTTTAATCTCTGAGCATGCTCAGTTCAGTGAGTCAACATCACAAGAAAACAAGCAGGGGAAAAAAAAATAAAATAAAATGAGATCTGTTCATCACTAAAAAAACATGGTGAATTTTGTTCCCTTGAGAAAGGGAACACTGATTTCTGCAGAACTGTGCCCAGCACACACATTCCTCATTCCAGCAGCACCAGGAGGATCTCCTCGCCTGCACAGCAGGGTTTAATGTGTTAAAGCACACTTCTGCAACGCAAGTGCATGCATGAAGCAGGAATCTTAATGTTAGCTTCAGCCACTGAACTCTGCTCTGACTCTGCCAGCAGCGGGGCGGGCGGCTCAGACCCATGCTGTTCACTCACAGGCACCCCAAACAAAACAGCAGTTAAGGACAGAGGGAAGGGCATCTGCTCCCCTGTGTCTGCTACGAGGCTGTTCCCACTGCTGTGTTTTAGTGGCTTCGCCCAGCCAAACATCAAGTGCTCACAGGACAAGCAAAGGTGCTTCTGCCACTCACCATGAAGGTTTTTCCTGATATTCTCAATTTCATTACTCCCATTTCAATCCCTTGTTCCACACTAAATTCTTCCTCCTCCCGCCACAAAGCTTGTTTAGCCATTAACTACTCTACACACGAGGAGGTGTTCCACCTGTTGGACAAGTGATCCTGTGTCAGCTGGCAGGCAGCTATCCATGCTTCTACCCGTTATACCCAAGAAGCAAAACCAACTCCAACCCAGCAAGTCCTACATTTGGCAGAAACAACACAGCTAACAGCAGCATCTCCCATCAGAGATGGACATCCCTCATGATGGACATCTCAGCTGTGCAGTCCCACTTATCACAGCAGCCACTGGTAAAACTGTGCTGGCTAAAAGAAAGCCTCCCTCACAGAAGTGATGGTGGGATAGAGAGGCTGACATCGTTTTAAGTCTAAGTATGCATTTGAAGGCATTGCTATGTGATAAAAGATAAGCTGCTCAGGTACAGAGCATACCACATGTGGTGCAAAGCATATCTAGTGGTTCAATGAAACAATATCTTGTGATTACTTATTAAGGTCAGTCTTCAGAGAGAGGGGGCTCCATTAAAAAAAAAACACTTTAAAGTCTTAAAAGAAATCCATTTCATAACTTGCAGGGACACAAACTAACAGGCTCCCTCTGCAGTGCAAGCTCCTCTCCATTAAAGCTTTGCAATAAAACTACACTGCTAACTAGAAATGCACCCAGTGAACCTGCAGGTGATTAATGCAGGCAACAATGCAGGAAATCTGGTGGCAGCGTGAAAATCAGCATCTTCTCATATTTTTTTTAAATCTCAGATGCTAGCAAGTGACACCATGCTAGCACACCTGCTGTGTGAGGGACGAGACCACAGCAGACAGAAGCCTTCTGGTCAAACATAGCATGTTTTCCAGTGAAAAGTGTTGATATCCAAGCTGCATTTCACAGATTTGAGACTCTGATACATAACAGAGTTTGTGTCGTACACAAAGGCAAAACAGGCCTTCATCAACAACTCCCTACGAATGCAATTTCATCAGATAATCCAACTATTCAACTCAGCATTAAAGGAAACTAAATCTGTCCAAGAAGGCTCTCACCTCAGTGTCCCAAGAGTCCTGAAGGACAGTATTCCTGGTACTACGTTTGGTCTGTGGAATATGACTGTCATCTTCATTGCCATTGCGCCTCCTCTTCCTGAGGAAAGATCAGGGAGAAAGAAGAGAAAAAAGATTATCAGCCTCCTGCTGTACTGCTGGTTTTGTCCTTCAAAGGTGATTCTTCAGAAGAAAAAAAACAAACAAGAGGAAAACTCATTAAATTAATGACAGATGCATCTAAACCTCCGATGTGTCGTGGGCATCATTTTCTCTTTTTAGCTGTTCTCTATGGAGAAAACCCTCCTCCTCACCAGTTAGTCAGGCTGATGTTTCATACCAGTTTAAGGGTCAAGGACTTGCAGTGGCCGTTAAAAAACAGTGCTGAGCATCTCTCTAAACAAATTTTTTCGACAACTCTCAGCCTTGTAACTGCTCTCAGTGTTCAGGCACATCTATAAATAAGCCTGGGACTTTGGTAAACATCTGACAGGTTGAAAAGAGCAGCTGGAAAAAGAAGTGATCACACTTTCAATAAACAGCCAGTTACTTTCATCTTGTTGACGTGAGTCTACAATTGGAGCCTGTGACGACTTTCTTCAGTCTCCCAACTCAGCATCTGAAATCAAATCATACTCCTGAGCCATGTTTATTTTTTGCATTCTAGAAGAAAGGTTTTCTTGACGTTAAGGTGGAAAGCACATCCTAGAAGACAAATCCTTCTCCTATTCGGATCTATTTGCCATCCTCTTATGACATCAGCGCTGCTCAACAGCAGCTTAGCAATAACAGCAGCTTAGAATCCCTGTGAACTGCTGTCCCTCAGTGTCAGCAAAACCTGGCTGTTAACGTCAGGTGATTTTTCCCACTATGGGAACACAGTTGGTCCGCCAGACCCTCAGTATGCTGAGCGTTACACAAACACTGGGAGAAAACCACTTTGATAACTGAGGATTAACACACATAAACACACTCAAATGAGTCAAAACAGACTCAGGCAAGATATTTATAACTGAATCTTTCTGGCTGAAAAGCTGCAGCAGCAGCCTCGGCCCACGCCTGCAGACCAGAAGTTGCCTCCTGCCTCTCCCTCCCTCGGGACGGCCACAGCGCGGCTGCCTGACGCCCACCTCAGCATCCCATGCTGTCACAGCGCCCTGCTGAGCAGAACCACTCCCCGCCCCGCTGCAAACACGCCGTGTCCCCACACAACCACCCCCACTCTGCCATTCCGCCCCCCAGCCCAGCTCCCTCCCCTCACCCCCAGCTTCCTGCTGAGGCCTCAACCCCCCCAGACACCTCGACACAGACAACTGCCGTCCCAGCACGCAGCTCAGCCCCCGGCCAGGCCATCCTCACTGACCACAACGCTCCCGTTCGCTCCCACAGCCGTTCCCCACCTCCCCCCACAAACCCGCGTCGCCAGCAGGCCGAGACCCTCTCAGGCCCGCCTCCGCCTCAGGCCGCGTTCCCTTTTCCCTTCCTCTCCCTCCTCGCTCAGGCCGCGCTCCCACCTCTGCCTGGCCCCCCGCTCGCTGGGCAGCGGCTGCCGGCAGCTCATGGCGGGCACAGCCCGACGGCCGCGGTGCGCTCCGACGCCGCTGAGGAGCTCCGGCACCGCTCGACTCCCACCGCCGCTTCCGGCGTCTCCACCTCCCGCACATGCGCGCCGCCCGCCTTAACCCCGCCTTTATCTTTATGCGCGTGCGCGACGCTCGCCTTAGCCCCGCCCCGATCGCTGTGCGCATGCGCACTTCGACCCCCCTGAAGCCCCCTCTTTGAGGGGTGTCTGCCGCGCCGCCTGACGGAAAAGCGGCCCCACCATGGCCGAGGCCCCGCCGGGCACGGAGCTCTGCCCGCACTGCCGGCGGCCCTTCAAGCGGCTCCGCGCTCATCTCCCGCACTGCAAGGCCGCGCCCGGCCTGGAAGCGGAGGGAGACGGGCGGCGAGAGGAGGCGGCCCTGAGGAAGAAGAGGAAGCGGGAGGCTGCGGCCCGGCCTCGAGTGGAGGCCCAGGCGCTGGTGGAGGCCGAGGCCCGCGATGTGGCGCAGTCCCTCGATCTGCTGCCCGAAGAGGTGGCGGGAGTCCCGGAGAAACTTCGGGACGGGGTGAAAATAGTGATCGAAAATCACCGCGTCAAGGTGGTGAGGGGAAGGAGCGGCCCTGGGGGGCAGTGCGGGGCTGGCTCCAAAGCGCCGCGATCAGCCGAGCTCGAGGGAAGAAGTGCCCCGAAAGCAGCGCACGTGGAGGTGCCTGGCCACAGAGCTCCCGGCTCAAAGGGAGGGAAAGACACCGGTTTAAATGCCGTTAAAACACGTGGGCTGCACGGTCACCCTGAAGCTGACGGCAGAAGGAGCCCCTCTGACCTCGCTCAGCAGGAGGGAACAGACAAAACCCTGACAGAAGAGAAGCAGGTGTATGTGGAAGCTGCTGTGGAATACAAAGCCCCTCTTTCTGTTTTGCACTCCCAGAACCTCCATCTGTCAGCAAGACAGGATTGGAGAGGTCACAAGGAAGGGACATCCAAAAATTACCTAACCAGCATACAAATGCTCAGTGTGAACAAGAAGCAGATGGCTGTCGTTTCCGAGCCCATCCTGAATGCGGGGAGGGACAGCAGGCTGGCTTTGGACCAGTCCTTGCTCCACACCTCCAAAAGCCAACCCATCTGTCTCCCCCAGGCCTCTGGCAGAAGCACACAGTCAGGTGCCGTGGGTTTGGAGTGGTTTCCAGACTTACATTCTAATTACCACAGTCTGAGCATGTTACCTGAGAAGTCTATTCAGGATGATGTGGGGATCACAATGAAGACACCAAAGGGCAATTTCTCAGAAGGACATCAAGGTAACGTTAGAAACAAAAGTCCGCTGCTGAGATCTGCTGTACTGCCAGGCTGAACTGTGAATGGAAGAGGAGGGGTAGGAAATGCTGAGGATGTCACTGAGTTTTCTACAAGTGGTCTGGATCAGATCTGAACAGGTCTAAGTCTAAGAACATCAACTATCTAGCTTTCTCGTCCTAGAAAACCAAGGGTTTGTGTTTTTAGGTTTGACTCTTGCACACCAGGGCCAGTAGAACCAGCTCACTTTGTGGGAGGAACAATTTGCTCTTCCTTTCTGAGCAATCTCAAGGTCAAGGCACTCACAGATACACAAGTTACCAGCTCCATGCTCAACACTCATAGCAGAAAGCGCAAGCACAGCATGTACTGGCCTCAGTTTCCTCCCTCTGACCATTCTGACTTCTCATTTTGCAGGTCCTCTCTCAGAAAGGCACCTGATGGATGTAAGGCTGGGGGAGCTGCCCGTGTGGCTCACCACCTGTGATTTTTCTCCCCGGGGGCTGCTTGGAGGCGTGCAGAAAGGTGAGGCTAAGTTTGTAGCTCTTGTGGCAGAAACATCCCACTTTACCTGATAATGTGCTGCTGCAGCCTGGTCCAAGGGGCCAATCTAGGTCTCTGTAAAAATGTAAATCAAGAGACCCAACCTTCTGGCTTAGAAAGGCACACGGAAGCCAATCAATCGACTCCATGGGACCAGTACATGGTTTGACCCTCGTGTTTCTATTCCAACAGTTTGGAGCAGTTATTACAACAAATACATCAACGTGAAGAGGGGTGGAGCAGCTGGAATCTCCATGCTCCTCGCTGGGTACTGTGTCCTCAGCTACAGCTGGAACTATCAGCATATCAGTAAGATTTCCTTCTTGGTATCTGTCTTATTTCAGGTAATTCCCCTTCTGCAAAAGCTGCTATGATTATTTAATAGTCATGTTATTTTAGGCTCAGAAGTAATTTAAATACTTCATAAGTAAAACTAGCATCAGAGCTCAAGGAACAGCACTCTGATTCGGCTTAGGAAAGCAGAGGAATTTCACAAAAGTGGTGGTAACAGCAATTTGCAGCTTCTCTCTAGCTAGAGCCAGGAACAGCCAGCAGCACTCTTCTCCCTTTGCTCTGTACATGGCTTGAGATATTCCAGCTCATTCCCTGGATTTACTCATAAACGACACAAAGGATTAACTGGTGTCTGTAGTTTCTCCACCAGGACTTGCTCCCACGTGCAGCTTTATAGTAGGTAAACAACAAAGTCTGTAGTCAGACTCCTGCTCATCACTGCTGGGCAAAGTACTCTTGTCATACGGTCCCTGAGCACAAGGCTGTACTAACTTTTATTTTTTATTATTTCCCCAATCCTTTTTTGCTAGAGTGCAGTCGCTGGCGCAAGTACCACTGAAGAGGCCACAGCAACACCCAGGAAAGAGTGGTAAATGTTTGACAGAATCAGCACAAGCTCCTGGGACCAGCAGGGTTTGAATCCTCAGTGAAACAGAGGCCCATTTCCTGTCAGACAGGCTCTCGAGCTGTTGGTACTGGGAGGATGCTTTTCAGCCACCCTCCTGCAGGTAGAGGGGTGTTGCTGACAGCCTGCAGTCACTGCTCTGCGGTCAGTGTTTAGCACTGAAAGAGAAGAAGGTGTTAAGGCAGCTCCTCAGAGGTCTGAATGCAGTAGATTTCCTGTGGTATTTGGCAAAGTATGTGGTAGATCATTGCAGATGGGGGTTAATAAGTAACCAGAATAACCATTGCCTTAAGTTATCAGGGCTGTACCAAGCACTGAGCACCTTCTACTTTCTTCTTGCCCCAGTAAGCAAGATTATGTTTGTAGTTAACTTGTGAAAGGAGAGCGATGCCTGCAGAGCTCTTCTACAGAGGGGCTCCTGCTTCCCTTAAGCACTGCCTGTGGGTCTACCTGGGCTCTGAGACAGCTACAGGAAGGATCTCTGTGGAGGTTTTAAAGCAGCAGCACTGAGAACACAGTGCCCTATTTCTGGAGGAAGAAAATCCATTGGATTAGCTGTTGTGCCCAAAGGGCAAACCGACATCAGACAAATGAGGACAGTTATGAGAGTGCTAGTTGTAGCCTGCCATCCTCAAACATGTCTGGAAAAGGGTTGGTCATGTTACAGGCACAAAAGCAGGCAAAAAAAAATAAATAAGTGAACTCCTTATTTTAAGTGGGGTGCAGAACTGTGTCAGAGGTGTTTCACAAAGAACTCCCTTCTCACCAGCAATAAAATCCTTGTGAATTTTTCTTTCCTGTTTGGTCCTGTGCATTCTTCAACATGGTGATTTCTTGCTTACTTCCGACGTGACCAGCACACCCCCCTTTCCTCTGACCCAGGCACAAGCCATTCCCACCCTCCTTCAGACTTTGGGCTGGCAATCTCCTGGTGCCATCTCCCTGCTGCACCAGTCCAAGCGTAGCCGCATTCCAGCTGTGCAGGAGGGGATGGAGGCAGTGACTGCTGTGGGAATAGTGAATTCCATTGAGGAAGATGGGATTTCTCTTTTGCTGCTCAGGCACATAGCTCTAAGAGCAAGTGTTGAGCATAGCCAACAGGCTTTTCTAGTCCAGCAGCTGTCCTGGTGGCCTGTCTGGCTCCATCATGTTGTACATCTCCCTCTGTCTTCCTTCTGCTTTCCCTGTGAGCGCTCATTTCCTCAGCAGGATTTCCATTTGGTTCTTCCCACGCTTGCCAGCATAGTGACCTTTCTGTCTGCACTGGGGAAGGAACAGAGAGAGGCAGGCATCAATTTTGTGATAGATCAACCCTGTGCTGTTTTACCACGTGTTCTTGTCCCATCGTTTCCAAGTGAGTGGACTAATGGAGCTATACCTCATCTGACACAGCTTGTGCCTATAAGAAACAGCCTAAGGCTTATTACTACAACAACCCCCTGCCTCCAAGACTGCTTTCCACAGCTATTCTACTGTGTGCCAAGTGTTTACAATCAAGGAAGTCTCCACATTATCACTTGCAGTCCTTAGCTCATCTTCTAGGGACTGCTGTCAGTCAGCCCCAGGCATGGCTAGATTCATAAAACCCACTTTCAGGAAGCCCCCCACAGCTCATGCTGTCCCTCTCTCCCACTCCTCCAAGCTGAGATCATTGTTCCCAAACCTCCCAACCCCAGCATCACCCACCTCGAAGCTGATGCCTGGTTCTGGTGGGCACTGTAGGATGATGGAACCATTGCTGGGGTTCCTGGGCTGCACTGCCAGGGACTGGGTGGTGCTGGTGACTAGCAGCTGGGGCTCTGCAGGTGACACATGTTTGCATCCCCTCTCCCCCCTGGCAGCAGGTCCTAACCATGCCTATCTTCTGAGGACACCCCCTGGTGGGGACATGTGGCAGTCAGCTTCAGCAGCCCCCAGCTCCTACCAGAGCACTGGGGCAGGGGCACAGAGCAAGAACAGTTTGAGATGGGTCAGTGTGGGGACCTCCTGCATCACCTTTGCTGGATCTGTGCTGTGCATCATCAACCCGGCCTTGAGGCTGCAAAGGGACACAAGGGCAAGCAGTTACCCCCCAGGACACAGCAAGCAGCACCCCTTCATGGCACTCACAGCCATCTAACGCTGTCCCAGGATTCTCATCCCCCAGCCAGCCTTATCTGCCTGCATGCCAAGCTCCCCCCCATTCCACCCCATACTTACTCAATAAATTTGCATTTAGGTCCATCAGGGCAGAAACCCACAAGGTAGCTGGCACACATCACCCTCCGTGTGCGCTTGTACCTGCACAGGGGACCTGCCACACACAGAAGAGCTCCCTGTTAACAGGGACACCTCACTGAGCCTGGATCTCTGCCAGGCACCAAGTAGCACTTCCACACAGCCCCCAGAGCTCACCCTTCTCTGGCTCCATCACCTTGCAGGATTTGGGGCCAGCAGAAGGAAGCAGACCTTCCATAACCAGCAGGTGGTGAGCACTGTCCCAGTATCTGGGCACTCACCATGCCTGCAGAAGCTTCTGCCATACCAGGGACAGCCCGTAGTGCCAACTGTAGCATCAACATACGGGAAGGGACAGTCCTCACTGCTGCACTCACCTGTGGGACCAGGGGGAGGGGAGGGGGTGAAGGCTGGGACAGCGCTCACCCAAGTCAAACAGCAGAAGTATGAGAGAAACAGGTGCCCAGGGGCATGCAGCCTCGGGCAGACACTGGTGGCATTTCTTCCCGCAGACAGGAGGTGGCATCAGGAGATTGCTTGAGGCCAGACCCGGAGGACACAGGGGGTTTAGGTGGAACAGGCTGCAGGGTCCTCATTCTGCTCTTACCAAGCTTGAAGTGGGAGCAGCACTTGGGGATCACAGTCATGTTGGGCTTGTGTAGGAAGTCACAGCCACTGCTCCATAAAAGCAGTGCTTGCAGACCACCACCCACCTCAACTCGTCGTGTAGGATCACCCCCAGAACGCACCCAGCTCATACAGGCAGTGCCTGAGTACCATATGTTCACTCTGAGGCATTCAGACCCTCCCCTTTGTGCTATTGCACAGCTCTGGTCCAAAGGAATGTGGCACTGGGGAGAAACAATAGGCTCTGAGTAGTCAACTTCTGTGCTCCAAGCCTGCATCTCGCGGGACACACAGATGTGGAGAAGCCCATTATGGTCGTGGTGTAGTGACAGAGCAGAGAGAGGCCCTCTCCAGCTCCCTGATGTCCCCGAGGGACTGCAAAACAGCACTGGTTCCACCCATCCTGAACCCTTCACAGCACTCACCTCTGGTGCAGAGCCCTTGGGTGAAGATCTTACACACAGCCACCCCCAGCTCTGCAGGGAGATCAGGAGAAAAGGAGCTTAACGCACAGCACTGGTGCCAAGACCACCATTCCCCAAAGGGATGAGCCCCCAACTCTTCCCACAGAGCTGCACTGGGTGCATCGTCAAGGGAAGCAACGCCTGAGGCCAGCCTGGCAGAAATACCACAGTAGCTGCAGCAAAGCAGGGAGAACCCCAGCACCTTCTGCAACTCTGCTGCTCTCCAGGGATGCCACAGGACCCTCAACTTACTGTCTTTACCTGGGAAGGGCAGGAGCTGGGCTCCTTGCTGCTGCTCCATGTCAGCCTCTGTATCAAACATGATCCTCTCCGCACGAGCCACCAGCTCCTCCATCACTCTGTAGTCACTAATCCCCCAAAGGGCTCAGAAACCCTCTTCTTCCTGCCCCCAAAGCAAACTCAGCTGAAGCAGAAGCCCAGTGCCCTCCATTTAGGGGGAGAAGCTACCCACATCTGCTCTCAATTTGCAGCTGTGATTGCCTGGTGCCTCAGCCCAGCTGTGGGGAGCTCAGCCCAGGTCCCCCAACCCTGGTGATGCCTCCTTGCATCAACATGTTTCCTCTCTGCCAGTGCTGGGAGAGCAGCTGGCAGTGGCCCTGACCCACAGTGGGGTCTGCAGGAGCTGACTCTCACCCCAGGCTGCACGCTCAGCAGGGAGAGCCTGACATCAGAGCTGAACGTGGTCTGCATGCTGTAATTAAATAGCCAGATAGCAAGGGATGGAACCTTTGTTGCGCCTTGTAATGCTTTGAACATTGCTGGTGATGCAGAGCTGCACCATCCCCAGTCCCACTTTGCAGTGCCACATCTCCAGGCTCACACTGGGGACAGCCAGCTCGTTCCTTGCACCCTATGAGAAGCCCCTTTGGCCTCACTGCCAGGCTGGGGGCTTGTACATGTGTGAGGCTGCAGTAACATGAGTGAGACACAACCCTGGTGTCACAGTGCCTCCCAAGGCCACCCAAGCAGACCCCCGTCCCTCTTCCATCATGTAGTTCCTGCAGCCACGCGCATCCCCATCACGTGCCCGGAGTGACATGGCCTGACACATCAGGGATGGAGACCTGCTCCCATTCTGTCACTAGCTATAAATGCACTGGAGCAGTGCTGTGTGCCTGCTGAGTGCTGCCAGCGGGGCTGCAGCCTTGCACTGAGCACCCACCAGCACCCAGTACTTGTCCTGATGGCATCCCATGCTGTGTCACATCCCGCACTGGCCTGACGCTCAGTGGCATCACAACGTTGCTCCCCACCAGCCCTAACCCCGCAGTGCTGGCCCTGCGCTGGGCTGTTGTCCCATCCCGGTGAGCAGAGCTGTGTCCCATTTGCACTCAGTGAGCTGCTGTGCTTTCTGCCCCGTCGGCTCGCAGCAGTGCGGTGCTGCCGAGCAGAGGCTGGAGCCGACAGGCGTCACAGCAATGGGAATGGCTTTGTGACAGAGCCAGGACTGCTTAGCACCTGCCCTGAGGCTCCCCATCCCCAAGTACCCTCCAGAAAGGGGTGCAAGCCCCAGAGACCTTCCCAGCACGCTGCTTCATGTCAGGGCAACAATAAGAGACAGGAGGAGCCTGACGACCTCTCAGGACACAGAGACCAGCACCATCGGTTTAGGGAGGGATGCTCAGAGCCCAGTGCACCAGTCCCAACCCAATGGAGCAGAGTGGGAGCAGGGTAGAGGCATCCCGGTGAGCTCAGAGCAGCCGCTGGCCCGGCTGCCAGCTGCAGCTGCTGTTGTTCTCACATCCTGAACAATAGCCCAATGTCCCACGCCGCGGGGCATTGTGTCGGCACAGGACCCCATTGTGTCCCCACCGCAGCTCAGCGCCTGCTCCCACCAGCATCACCCTTCCAACCTCTTGTGCAGGGTGGTGGGCACCCAGCCCAGGACCCTCCAAGGGCTGGAAAATAATAAAACGGCCAAATCCTTCCGTCCTGGTCCAGCCCTGCAAAGCCATCTGCCTGAGGATGAGGGAGCGCTCCCGGACTGCTCTCCCCATCTTATCCCATCCCATCCAAAGCCAAAATCCTGCTGTAGGGTAGGAATACCTGCTGTGCTGGACACGGCCCCACCATCCACTCACCCCAGGGCTCACAGCAGGGCACCCCCAGCCCATGGGAGTGGGGACAGCCAGTCCTGCCTTTCCACCTTCCCCTTCTCCCTGACTGAAGGAAGCATGCTGCAGGAGGAGAGGCCACTTGGCATGGTCACCCCTTGGCATGAGCAGGGCTGGCCGGAAGGGCACAGCCAAGAGCCAGATCCGGCCAGCAGGAGCTCACCCGCTTCCCCCACGGCAGGCAGCCCTGCTCTGATGGGCAGATAGAGCACAGCCACAGGTGCCAACACGCAGCCAGGTTGGCACAGCACCACACTGAGTTAGGGAGAAGCCACAGGGCCTGGGAGGAGGCAACAGCATGGGGTCTGGAAGCAGCACGGAGAAACCCCATCCCCACACTGGACCCGGTGTAGAAGAAGGCAGCCACCCACATCTCACCCCATAGGAACTCAAGCCACTGCTGCCACTAACATTTCCTTTATTCTTCACATTTTTACATACACGGTATAAAACCTTTTTCTTCCACCTGTCTGCACCAGCACAGCCCCACGGCAGCAGCCACCAGCATGCTGGACCAGGGGAGTCCCAGGCATTCATTCCCAGGGCACAGACCCACGGTCCTATTGGTGTTCCCAGCACAATTGGTGCCAGGGCCGTATGGAGTGTGTCTCTGCTGGGATGGAGCATCCATCTGAAGCGTGAGGAGCAAGTCCCCACTGCAGCACAAAGGCAGCGGCTCTCAGACTGCAGAAAGTCCCTAAGAAACCCAGAGCTGCCAGCTGTCCCAGGGCTCTGAGTTTGAGTCCTTCCTCATGGGAAATGTCCCCTCCGTTAAAAAAAAAACAAAAGCAAGAGTAAAGAAAGTTAAGTACAAATCGGAGAGCAGTAAAAACCTTATGGTGGAAAAAAATATATATATTACTAGAGGGACTAAAACTTCAAAGCCTCATCTTGTTTGATCCTATAATGCTTTACGTGGGCAGGGGAAAAAAAAGAAAAGAAAAAAAGAAGAGCACTAGCATCCAAAGTCCAACAGAAAGAACCAAGATTGAGTCTGTTCCTTGTCCAGGGAGGCGCTGGAGCTTTCCCAGGGCAGCACTATCCTATCACCATGGGATGGCACCGGCACTGCGGGAGGGAGAGGAGCAAAGTGTTCCTGGTGCTGCCAGCCCCAGCACTGGGTCACCCATCCCTGTGTCCAAGCAATCACAAATGAGAACCAGTCCCCTCAGCTCACCTCCCTCCCTATACCCTGATCTCATCATCATCTTCATCGGCGAAGGAGAACTCCTTGTCTGGGTGCTTCGGAGGGCCCCGCTGGCTCTGTGCCCCCACTGGGAGGGGGCTGCGCTCGCCCGGCCCCGAGGCACAGCTGGATGCTGCACTGCTGTCCCTGGGGCCGCCGGCGCTGCGGGATGGACTCTGGCTCTGCGCAGCCACTGGAGAACCGGGTACAGCAACATCCCCCTCCTCACGGCTCTCCTCCGCCTCGAGGTCTTCATCCTGCTCCCACTGCTCCTTATCCATGATGCTCAGCACATCGCCGAGCATGGAGGGCCCCAAGTCGATGTGGAAGGACATGATGGACTCGGCGTGTTTCATGCCAGCCCCGCTCTTGGCCACCACAACGGGCAGCTCCGTGATGTCCCCGAAGTCGCGCTCATCCAGACCGGGGCTCAGCGGCCCGGCGGCCGCCCCGTTGAGACGCTGCTGCTCTTCGGGGCTCATCTCCTCCGGCATCTTCTTGACGGGACTGGAGGAGAGGCTCTTGGGCAGCTGCCCCGCGCTCCTGTCCACCTCCTTCTCATTGAGCTGCGGCAAGGAGACGGCATTCTTCACGAAGAGCGCCGAGTCGCGCAGCGAGCCCAGCATGTCCCGCCGGTCACCGCGCGTCACCGACTGCGAGCGCTTGCTGCTGCGGAAGCGGCGGGACAGCAGCCCCGGCTTGGAAGCCCCCGGTTCCTCACCTACCTCCGGCTCGCCGGCCTTGCTGGTGAGGAACGAGGTGTCCCCGAATGCATCCCCGGCCCGGCCCACGTGCATGGTGTGCCGGAAGTCCCCCAGCGGTGCGCTGATCATCTCTGCCGTCAGGTCGGCCCGCGAGCGCCGCTTGGAGTGCGCCGAGTTGGAGACAAGCTGCTTGAGGATGGGCATGGTGCTGGTGGTGGGCAGCACGGCCAGCGGGCACGGCTGCTGCTCACGGCTGCTGCTCCACGCACGGGGTCGCACCCGGCATCACCAGTGGGTCACTGCTAGGGGACAGGAGAGGGACACAGTCAGGCGAAGATGCTATGGGATCATAGAATCATTAAGATTGAAAAGACATCTCACCCTCACTGTGCCCTGTCCCCAAGTGCCACATCTCCATGATTCTGGAATACCTCCAGGGATGGTGCTCCACCCCCTGGGCTGCTGTGCCAGTGCCCAACCGCTCATCCTGAGAAGAAACTGTTCCTGATATCCAACCTGAACCTCCCCTAAAACAACAGACACAGCCCTGCTGACACCAGCCCTCATACTACCAGGCTGCAAAACACAACACCATGGCCACAGATGAGTGTGATCCTGCAACAGCCCCCACACAGAGGGGGGCTGCAAGGGGGATGGGGCCTCAGACCCCACCGAGCCACCCAACCCTGCTCTGTCCTCTCAGAAGAGTGGTGTCAGTCCCCATCCACGAAGTAGACAAAGAGTTGGGCATGGAGAAGCAGCATGAAAGTCCCTGATGGAAATGAGCATGGCACCATGGTCCCCTTGTCCTGTCCCATGGTGATCCCAAGCTGCAGGCTTCCAGATATCCCTTCTCCTCCCTGAACACTCGCACTTTGTTGTTGCTTTGGAGACAGATTCAAGATGGCAAACCTGGGGAACCATCACAGCATCACCACACCCCACCCCACCGACCCCTCCTCACCCTACAGCCCCAGAAGGGCAAATCCCCACAGCAGCCAGGTCTGCAGCAGAGCTCCTTGGGTGACACTACCACGCTGTGGGGACACACACAAAGAGGGACATTGAGGGCACCCACTGCCCCTCCCTGCACAGCCCCAGCCCACCGGAGTGGGGCACAGCAGCACTGAACTTCCAGGAGCTGCACACTGAGAGGATGCCTGGGATTTTATTTTTTTTTAATTGAAAGAAAGCTGGGAGGAGCAGCCGCCAGGAGGAATTGGAAACAGACGGCAGGAAGTGTGCAAGGAGCCCCCGGGAGGCACCACCAGGCTGAGGGGAGCAGAGCAGGGACAGCTCCTGCAGCCTTGTGCACCTGGTAGCATGCGTGGCAGGATGGGGACATGGGGGACCCCAAAGCCATCCATGCTGTGCCCTGGTGCTGATCCCACATGTGCCTGTGCCACTCTCACTGCACCCCCATCCCACCCCCCCGGCACAGCCACCTCACCATCACTGCTGTGACTCAGGGGTTACAGCTCACAGCAGAGATGACCAAGGGCCTCTCCCTTCCTCTTTCTCACAGCCCGGCAGCATTACAGCCTCCTCCATCCTCAGTGCCATCACCGGCCCCATCCAGCCCAGCCCCGGTGGCCACGCAGGAGGGAACAAGGACAGCGACCACATCATTGCATCCCGTGACGTCAGGCAGCCCCAGGTGGTCCCGGGCGAGGAAAAGCCAGAGAGGAAGAACTCACAGCCGCCCTCTTCCTCCAGTCGGGCACCGCGGCGCTGCCGACACGGCCATGCTCACAGGGAAAGGGACAATAACTCTTCCCTGTGTCCCTCAGCCATGCCCAGCTCTGTGGGACCGGCGGGGAGAGATACAGCAGCAAGGTCCCAATAAAACCCAGCCACGTACCCACACACATGCCCCAAACCTGCCCCAAGACACCTGGCTGTTCCTCACCATTCGGCCAAGCTTGTTCCATGTGGGCAGGGCGCACTCTGATCCCACACAGGTGCAAAGTCCCATTTCCCTGCCCCACTCTCACAGCTCCTCCTCAGAGCCAGTGCGCTGCATGGCAGCCCCAGAGCTGAAGGAACACGCTGACCCTGGGGGCTCCAGAGGGGACACAGCAGCAGGGATGAAGCAGCTGCTCTGTTTCCCACCAGCTCTTCCCATGCACTGCAGCCACCCCAAACCCAGAGCTGGGTGGGCTCCTCTCCACACCCCCATGCAGCTTCTCGCAGCCCCCCACTCCCAGCAACAGCTCCTGCATGCGCATGGTGCAGACATTTCCCTCTGCACGCTCTCCTTTCAGGCCAGCATTCCTGCAGCCTTTGGTTTTACATAAAACAAACACTCCCAGCAAGCTCCCCAGCTGGGCCAGGCAACCGTGCTGGCTGATTTAGGCCATCTGGGGACTGTCCCTCCCTTGTATTTAGATTTCAGGGCCAAGTCGAGCATTTGCAAGATACTTTGCAAGCTGCAGTGAAGGGGCCGCTGGGAGTTGGAACGTTACTGGTGCAGCCTCCCCATCCAGCCGCCCTCCATCACCATCAACCTCCAAACAAGCCATGCTCCCCCCCCACCCCTGAGGCTGCGGCCCAAAAAAACATTTCATAGTGACCCAAATCTCCCTCAGAGCTTTGCCCCCAGCCTCCTGTAAAGGCAAATCTGGAGCAGCCACCTATACCAGCCCCATCCCACTGAGGGAACGGGGCACAGAGCCCTCTTCTCCTGCTCTCGCTCAGGGCGAGGAGTAGATCCTGTGACATTCATGCTGTGCATGCTTTCACAAAGGAAACCAGGCCAGAGCAGTTCCACAGCTGCCTCTCCTGCTGCCTCTGGGATCATGGCTGTGAAACCCGAGCGGTGCAGCAGGGCTGGCAGTGCTGCCCATTTCTGGGCATAGCGGGTGGCAGCGAGTCCAGGCAGGGCTTTGGGGATGCGGATAGGATAGGACTTGCAAGCAGGGTTTAAGGCAACAGGGAGAAAGCAAAGCAGCGGTTTACAATCTGCCTCATCCCCACTTCTCAACCCTTAATAATCTTGAGCTCAAAACAGCGAGAGCCTTGCATCCCCCATTTCCCCTGAAAACGAGCGCTCAGCCTGGATCCTGCAGACAGCACAGAGGAGAGCCAAATCCCAGCCAGCCCCATGCAGGGTTGGCAGCAGGGACCACTCAACCTGATGCCACTTTCATCCCTATCTCACCCCGCTCAGCACCAGTCACCCACTGGGGGCTACAAGGCAAAAGAACAGGGACGGCACAGGGGTGCGTGCGAGGGAAAAACCGCTCCAGCCACGCTCCCACACACCCCGCCTCCGGCTCACCCCGCTCTCGGGCTGGGAGAGCCATCCCAGCCAGCCCAGCCGGATCCCAACGAGCCGGGCTGCGCACATGCCACAGGCAGCAGCCTGCAGCCCCGAGATCAGAGGATGCTCCCCACCCTGCCGGGCGCTGGGGCAGGGGCAGCACAGGACCGGTCCGTCCCCAGTACAGCTCCGGGGCAGGGAGGACGCGCTCAGCCCCGCTCACGGGGCGCTGCCCCCCGTCCCCCACACCCCCCCGCCCCGGGCAGCCGTCTCGCACAGCCCTTTGATGTCGGTGCCTGGCAGACGGCTGCCGGAGACGCTTCTCTCTCAGATGACGCCCTGCCACCTCCGGTCCCAGCGCTATCACAGCCCGGTGAGCCCCGCCAGGCCTGGGGAAGCCGGTCCCGTTCGCGTGGGATGAGGAGGCGCCCGGTGAGCGTTGCTCTCCGCTGTGGGTGACAGGTCTGGTCCTGTCTGCTGGCAACGCCGCGGCTCAGTCAGGGGATGAACAGAGGAGGCTTCAGCGGTCGGAGCCCGGGTCAGCGGGACGGCTCAGCTCGGCGCTGGTTGCAGCTATCTGCGCGTAAATCAGAGTTGACCCGGGGAAGCGCCAGCCTGGCGGTGCCAAAAAACGGAGCGGCGTTCTCCCCAGGGAGCGCTGACGCCCAAGAGCTGCATCCAGAGTTCAGCGAGGAGCTATGGGCAGGACACGCCATTACACGCAAGGGAGCAAAACCCTTCTGCTGAGGGGCCAAGAAGCAGCCCGCAGCCACGGAGGGGACGTTTCCGAGGGGAAAGGTTATCTCCTCGCTCCGTCACTCGCAACAACGGGGGCTGGCCAGGCTCTGACAGGATACCGGGGCTAAACGGCCCTCCTGACCTCTTCCAGGCTCCAAATTCCTGCGGTTTCGCTAGGGTGGACGGGAAGTAAACAGCCCGGCTTCCCACGGCTCACCCCGACACCCCACATGCCCAAACCCCACCGGCCGGCTCGGGGCCCCGCGCTGCCTGCACTCAGACAAAACCCAGCGAACAAAGGCAGAGACGGCCGCGGTCAGCACAACGCCGCCGGGCTGCTCACAGCTCACCCCACAGCGTGGCACCGAGAGAGTGGCCGCCCCCCGCTATGGGGGTCTTTTCACCCCACCTCCCGCACCAGCACCCGACCTCACGAACATACCCCGCATTAAACCTCAGCTGGATTTGCTCCACGGTCTCCGAGGGAGCCGCATCCAAAACAGATTTGTTTACTGCGTGTCCCGAGATCGGTGTGCCGCTCCCTGCCCCTCTCCCTACCTCAATTTCCCCCCCCAGACAGCTAACGATCTCAGCTCCCGCGTTAACAGCCTATAGATCGGCGCTTGGAAACATCCATATCGACACCGGGACTGCTGGGGTCAAGCTAGGGCAGCGCAGGCTGCATCCCCGTCCCCACCAGCGGCTTCCACCCCCCCAGCTCGGCTCTGGCAACGCCGTCCCACATCGCAACAGGCTTCTGAGCCCCGTGCTCAAGTTGCAGAGCTGAGAAAGCCCCCGGGATGCCCAGAATGCGTCCCCTGGGAGTGCTGAGCACTACAGGAGTGTAGAACGGGACGGCTGGGAAACCCTGGCCCACCCCCGACTGCAGGAAGCAGAGCTGAAGGGGGATTTCAAGCCGCTCTGTGACTCAGCAGCCGCTTCGCCCCGTCCCAGCGAGCCCAGAGGTGCGGCTGGAGCCGCTCCAAGGATCGGCGTTTCCGAGAAGGGCCGCATGAGCGCAGCGTTCGGGACTTCGACGGGGTGCGCAATCAGAGCCCGGCCCGGGCACCGCGCCGCGGGGCTCCGCGAACCGGGCCGGGGCAGCGCACTCTGGCCGAGCCATGCCAGGACCGGGACAGCCCCGGGGCCGGAGCCCGCAGCTCGGGCGGGGCGAACCAGTGCCCCAGGCTGGGCAAATAGAGCTCCGGAGGCGCCGCATCCTGTTAACTCCTTCACCCACCCGGCCTGGTGCCGGGACAGGGCTCGGGATAGCCCCAGGACCCCACCCGCAGTGGTGGCGGCTCCGGACCCCCCGGTCCCGCATCCCACCCGCCTGAACCCCCACCGGCTGCATCCCGAACGCTGCTCCCGGTTCGAGGGGGAAGAAGGTGAGGGCCACGGCGCTGCCAGCCCCCACAGCCCAGGTCCGCTCCCGATTACCGAACTCCACCCTCGGGGCTCCCTGCCTACCGAAGCTCTATCCGCACGACGATGCCGGCACCGCACGGCCCGGAGTTTCCCAACGGCCCTCGGAGCGGAGCGGTCCGAGCTCGGCGCCCACCCCGGTGCCGCCGCGCCCCGTCCCTCCCTCGGACAATAGCAAAGCCAAGGCCCGGCCATCCCATCCCCGTGCCGTGTCGTTCCGAGCCGTGCCGGGCTGAGCCGTACCGGCGCGCCGCCCGAACCCCTCGTACCTGCGCGCCCGGGTCCCGCGCCCGACCCATGGCCGTGCCGCCCGGTGCCGAGCCGAGCCGAGCCGAGCCGAGCCGGAGCGAAACCGCACCCCCTCCACTACCGCCGGGCGCGAATGATGTCATCGCCCCGCCCGGGCCAATGGAGCCGCGCAACGTCACGGGGCTGCCCCACTCCCTCCATTCAAACCCGAGTGGGGCTGGGGGGGGAAGGCGGTAAGGCTTGTCCTGGAGGCGGCCTTTTTGGGGGTCCCTATTGGGATACCCCAACCTCGGAGAGAGATCTTCTGTGCGGAGTGCGGGGATCCACGCGTGTGACTCTCCTCCCCCCCGTGGGGCAGCCAGGAGCTCGGTTCTCCCTTCTCCAGGCCCAGCAGTGGGCGGGGGCTGCCCGCACCCCCAGCGTAGGAACCCGGGCTGGAGGCTGTAATTAATTAAGGGAATTAAAGCCGAACTGAGCAGCCAGGAGTCAATGGGCTCAGCCCTGGGGGGGCACCGTTGACTACGCTCCGCTCGCAGCCGTGTCACCCCCGCTCGCCCTCTGCTGTCCCCAGCCTGTCCCCATCCAGCCCCGCAGCCGCAGCCTCTCGGCAGCCCCACGCGATGGGTGCGGGGCAGCGGCACCGCGCTGAGGGTTCAGGGCCGCGCAGCCTCCGCCGGAGATTAAGGCGAGACCTTTGTGGGAGAAAAGGGGCGGGAGAGACAAGATTATCCCGAATCTGCCTAATGCGGCGTTTCTTGCATATTCCAAAGCGTCTGGCGCCTCTGTGCATGCAATAAAGGGGTGGTGAGCGGGAGATACGGCTCCAGATGCTGCGGCCGTACGTGCTCGGGAGCTCATTGCTGCAGTAAGTGCCAGGGCACAGAGGTTTCTGGTGTCACCAACGAGAGGAGAACCCCACTTGTAGGGCGGCTCCACTCCCCAAAATGCAGCTGCACGGGTTCAGCAGCACCAACCCAAAGGGATGCATCAGCGCTGGGCACTCTGATGCTTCATCCCAATGCTGCCCATCCGTGGGAATGGGATGAGCCAGAACCATGAACCCGTTGCTCACTGCAGGGCTGGGCAACGCGCAATGCTGTGGGGTTGGCATGCCGGGGGGGGGGGGGAGGGGGGGCTGAGCACCGAGGCCAAAACAACTGCACTGGTGTGGGTGTTCAGCACTGCTGCTGGTTCCTACAGGCTCCTCCTGGGCTACGCTGCTCCCTCTGTTCACATCACTGCCATTTTCATAGCCGGTTTGGTCAGAAAATTTGATTTTCCCTGCTTTGCATTGGGGAAACTGAGGCAGAACACGAAGCACCGTGCCTGTGCTTTTTCAGGTTGGAGTGGCTGCGGAAGGGGAGGCTCCATCCTGGGGCTCTGCCCACATGCACCAAGCCCCCCCCACGGCTCATTATCAGGTAAATCAGTGCTACCAGGCCAGCTCATGTCAGATGAAGGCCTTGCATTGCCAGCAATGCGTGCCTCACCTGATGCTGTCATGGGAGCACAGCGCTGGGTGAGACAGCGCAGTCAGAAGGAATTAAGCTCAGCCGGCTGCCAGCGAGACAGCACTGCTGGGGACAGCACCTGAGGGCTGGTGGGGCTGTGGCTGGGCAGAGCGGGCACCCAGTGAACCCAAAACACTGCTATCAGAGCTGCCTCCACTCCTGTCCTCCTCCTGCAGAGCCCCCGGGGCAGGATCCGGCCCCGGGGAGATAGCAGGAGGGTTGGGGGTGCTCAGAGGCTCAGGAGTGGGTAGCTGGATGGCTCTGACCCTCCCTGAACCCATCGCTGGCTCCTTTTAGTGCTTCTCAGCAGCTTTTGAAAGCAGTGTGAAAAAAAAGATTGTAAAGCACTTTTAAAAGCCAAGGAAAATGTGCCTGGGTTCCCAGCAGCCAGTCCCCTCCTCCCCAGCAAGCCCAGCCAGCACATCAGTGCCTGCCAGCTCTGCTGATGGTGCTGCCTTGGCCATGCAGGAGATGCTTCTGAGAGCACCGCCTGGTTTCTTCTGAGCCCGAGTGCTGCAGTGAGGTGTGGGAAGCACCAGGCAGGCAGCCTGAGAGCCATCCCAAATCCCCCAGCCCCACAGCCTGTGTGCATGCTGACCATGGCCAGAAACTTCCCTAATCACCCCCTTCAGCCCCACAGGCATCAGCTTGTGCCCAGAACTAAAGGTTCTCACCCCTTCCTTGTGTCATCCACCCAGTTAACCAGCCAACCCATGCACTCCAGCAGGATTGTGCTGCATGCTCACCACCAGCACCTCAGCACCCACAGGAGATGCAGGTCAGAGCCTGGCACAGGCAGGGTTTCTCCACCATTCCCAGCAAGCACACTTCCCTTCTAACCAGCAACCCAAAACCCACCCCAGCGCCTCCGGCACCACCATAGGTGACAGAGCCCATACAGTGTGACAAGCATCCAGAGCTGCAGGCAGGATGCACACACCTGGATCTGCCCTCTGCACAGCAGAGATTTGGGGTTTCAGCTTCTCCCCTCTGTCCCCCTTGGCTGCTCCAGGCCTGATAAGCACAGTGCTGGCCCTTGGCAGACTGCAGAACCAAGCCAAGCGCACACTGGGGAACACGTCAAGGTCAGCACAGAGCAGCTGGCTGTGTTGTGTCTGTGTCACAGGGAAACTGAGGCAGCACAGGCTCAGGATGTGCCACTAACACCACTGGCACTGAGACCATCTCCAGCCCAAGGATGCACACCCTCCGTGTCCCTGCAATGGGGGCACGCTCTGGATGCTGGCTGCATCACAACTGCTCCCAGGGAGCCCTTGCATGGGCCGCTCAGATTTGCTTGGCTTCTCAACACAACCCTGCAGGGAGCAAGAATTCCCTTGCCTGAGGCTGGGGCTGGAGCCAGGCAACAAAAAAGGAGCAGGATTTGTCCAGCCCACCCCTGCCAACATCGGCACTCAAGTGAGGAGATGCCTCCCTCCTCAGTGCCCATGGAACAGACAACACCGCTGCCCCTGTGCCAGCTCCAAAGTAGGTTGGATGAGTCACCTGCCAGCAATGCCCCCTGCTCTCTGCTGGCTGCGGGGACGTGGTTACAAGATGAAGCAGGGACAACACTCCTACAGGTGGCAGCGGCTGGGGAGCAGCATCCCCCATTCCTCCCCAGCCCAGGGGAAAGGTGGAGAGGGCACCACATCATGCACCCAGCTCCAACCGGTCCCCAAAAGCAGCGCTTGCACAAACACCCCCCACGTCTGCAACCAGCCCCATGGTCCCAGTGAAAAAGCAGCCCCAACCAGGGAGCTGTGTGCTGAGCTGTGCCATTGGGCTGACTATCAGTGCAGCAGGTTGGACAGACACATCATACTGGCTCCTTCTCCAGCACAGCACGGTGACAGACAGGTGAGACAGGGTCATCCTCAGGCTGTTTATTGGCATCTCTCGGTGCAGCCCCACCAGCTGGTACCTGGCTCACCAATAGGCAATAGAAGAGGGGAGAGGTTTGCTATGCAGAGAGCACCAAAACCACCCCCTCTCCAGCCCCAGAGCACACCGGGCGTCACCACCGTGTGCCTCTTAAGCTCCCAGGCCTCTGCACAAAACAGAATTAAAATAAAAACACCTCCACGCTGCCAGAGAGGCAGAGGAGCAGCCACAGTCACTGCGTCACCCCGCCGAGTCCTCTCCAGGGTGCAAATCATGGGAGACATCAGCACCACTTGCACCCCTGGGGGCTGCGCTGAGCCAGGGGCAAACAAAGAGGGCAATTCATCGTCCACATGGCTGCTGGCCCCATTTCTCAGAGGGTCCAGGCTGGGGGCTTCACCCCCAGAAGGTTACACAAACAGAGCCCCTCTCCCCACACAGTCTCCTCTGCATCACCGCCCATTCCCACATCCTTGTGGGACCCATAAGTTGGGCTGTGGCACAGCCAGGACCCCTCTGCAGCCTCCAGCCAAAGGGTCCTTAACACAGAAAGCTTTGGCCAAAAAGAGGAGCTGGGTTTTGCCCCCAGCCCCAGCACTGTCACTTGGCATCCTGCTCCAAGTCCTGCAAAGGAAAGGAAAAAGCCTGAACCTGAGCAGCCCCTCCTCAGGCTCTCAGCATCTCCGTCCTCTTCTCCTCCTTGACACTTATTTCCTTGATTTCTTGCATTCTTTTTTTTTCTTTTTTTTTTTTTCCTTTTTTTTTTTCTTTTTTTTTTTTTTTTTGCTCCTTTGTTTCGTGTGGTTTTCTTCTGCTCTCCCCTTTAAGTATCAAACAAAAGAGGAAAACCCAGCGATGGGGGCTCTGGAGCCGGGGGCCAGGCTGCTGGGCGGGCGGTACAAGGTGCCAGGTTGGCTGGGGGGGTTGCCAGGGGTCTGTGGGGTGGGAGTCCTGCTGGCTTTGGGCCGGAAGAGGCTGCCCTGCTGTGTGGAGGTGCTGTTGGAGAGGGGTGTGTGGTCGGGCTCCCCGGAGTCGCTCTCGGTGTAGCTGTACGCCTGCGCCCGTGAGATGCCCTTCTGCTGCCTCCGCCACGAGTTGTAGTAGGTGGGGTCACTGATGTAGTGGTTGACAAAGGAGTGGGCTTTCTGGTGACCAGGGTCCACCTCGTACTCGCTGTCGCTGCCCTAAGGGACAATGCAAAGAGTGAACGTGGGGCAGAGCCGCCCGTCGCCACCGAATCACAGAGTAACGATCATCAAAGATGGGGAGAGCTTTCCCAAAAGATGGAGGGGGGTGAGAACGGCTGCAGCACAGCAGGGGCGGTTCTGCTTTCTGCTCAAGCGAAATAAAACCTCGCACAAAAGGGCTGCGTGGCCCTGGGGCCCCGTTGTCCCCGGGGTGTGAGGACGGGGGTGCTGGCGGGCGGCCGCCTGCCTCCTGCTCGCGGTAATTGGATTCAGCTTCTCCTCGGCGCGCACAAAGGGCCCATTGAGGGGCGGCGGGGAAGCAGCACCGCGCCAGCTTTCGGCTCTCGCCGCTCTTCACAGCTCCTCAAAGACACTCGATCTCCGCAGAAGGGAGCGGGGCTGGGATCCGCGAAAGGAACCAGTGCGGGTGGAGAAAAGGGGGCTCGGGGCTGACCCTGCCTGGGGACAGGGCTGAGCTGCAGGGACCTCCCTCCCGACCCCCAGGCTTCGGTCTCCCCTTTGTCGCTGCTTTGCAGCATCCGGCCCCTGGGGTGGGTGATGCTCAG